CTATCTCCATCATCATCATCATCATCATCCGTCAACATCTCCATCTCATCATCATCATCATCATTATCATCATCATCATCATCATTATCATCATCTCCATCATCATAACAAACATCAGCATCAAAGACTTGTTATGATCCTCCATTGCACATATCGCTACAAACAAGAATCATGACATGAATCGAACCTGTGAGGTGTGTTGAGAGATTTTACAGCTTGCGTGACCTCAGCGTCAGGATTTCTGATCTTATGCCCCTAAGGCACTTCAACGTCATGGTCGATAAATCAGAAATAAGCACATTGCGATAATCAACATCCTATAATCCATTCTCAACTCTCCTTCTCCTCCTCCTTCTCCTTCTCCTTCTCGTTTTCCCTCTCCTTCTCCTTCTCCTCCTCCTCTCTCTCCTCCTCAATATCACCACCACCACCTCTTCCTGCTGCACTACCGCCAACATGGGCATCACCCCTTGGCTTATATCTCCACATGCTTTATCATCCCCTCCGTGCCCAACAGTCATCTCCACTTGCCTCGTCCAAGACAACATAAGACCACTGGGGGGCAAGCAACATCTGCCAGGCGCGTCAGACCATCTCAAACTTGACCTTCTCCATCCATTCACCTCCGCCTGCTTTCTCATCTGATCGTAGGTTGTAATCAACACGCCCCCATCTTCGACCACTTCCTTGAGCAGCAATGAAGGCTGCAGATAGCGCGTGAGAGGAGCAAAGAGCATGCCGAGTCCTCACCTTGCGTTTGTTGCTCCCGCTCTCATGAAGCAATACGACTCGGAGAAGGGGATACCACTGATCGCAAACGATTTGATCAGCCCTCATTGCAAGAGATCATAAATTGTTGAGATGTCATCGTCAACAACATCTAGTTCTCCACACCGTTTTATCAGATGTCAAATGCTCGTTCACACCTCACATTTCACACATCATATCTCACACCCATTCAGTTGTATCTCTACCACAAGCTTCATACAGGCAGTTCCTTGCACAAAACATGATCATTACCTTGTGGAATTCTCTCACCCACTGAGACATGATGGTTGCAGGAACCAACAGAAGCGTTGCCCCTAGTTCCCCACTGAAATGCAGACCTGGAGCACGAGGAAATCAGAGAAGCGGCGAGGAGGTCTCAGAAGGCAGAGGAGCAGAGGAGCAGAGGAGCAGAGGAGCAGAGGAGCAGAGGAGCAGAGGAGCAGAGGAACGCTGGATTATTCTAGGCAGAGGAAGAAGAGACTAAGAGGATGAGATCGAGAGGAAGGTTGTGAGAAGGGGAACAGGAATAAAATTCTCTGACCAGCTAAGAAGGCGATGATCTGGATGGTCTTTCCCAACCCCATCTCATCACCTGTTTCTCTATCAGCATCATTGATAAAACAAGGTAGGGAGGAGGGAATCGTAGGGAAGTATGGAAGGCAGGGGGAGGGGAACGAGAGGAGGAGAACATTGACCGATGATTCCTCCTGCTTCTTGACAGTGAAGTTCCCACAGCCATTTCACTCCTGTCTGCTGGTAGCCGAACAATCTGATCGGCAACTGTAAGGGCTGAGAAGCCTTGGAAGAAGTCTAGGAGAAGTCGTAAGCACCTCGAGTAGATGCGTGTCGGGATCTTGTATCCTCCTTCAAAGCTCTCGAACTGTAGAAGAGCAGGAGCAGAAGATCACCGATAGAACGAAGAAGGGGGAGGCAACAAGAGCATCAAGGAGAATGCAGAAACTAGCGGGAGGGAAGCAAAGACGGCATGCCAACCTCCTGCTCCCCGGACCAATCACCAAAGTCATCGACATCAGAGTCTGGCAACTCTCCATCTTCGTCTGACTCTTCAGAACTGCTTTCTGGGTTCCAATCCTCGTCCGAGTCCTCTGCAGAGCTCCTCCTCTTCCGCTTCCTGGAGCTTCTCCACCTTATCAGCAGCTCACCCTCGACCGTCAAAATTCTCTACCTCGAGGATTCTCGAAGAGCGCTGATCCGGCTGTGAAATGCTTCGATACTGCCATCGTCCACAGCTGTCGGACATGTCACCGCACGTGCAGTGCAAAGTAAAATTCCTTACTTCCACTGGAAGACGAGACGGCTCGCACCGCCTTCGTCCTCTCCTTCTTCTTCTTCTTCTTTTCCACCTCCTTCTCCAGCTGCCACGTGATCAGCGGATCAGAGAGATCGACAAGCCATCACCTTGGGTGGAACTTTGCTTCCCCTGTCCTCCCCTCTCCCCCTGCTCTCTCGGGATCCGTCTTGAGGGCGGGGTTTCTTGCTGCCTTTCTCTTCCACTCGTGCAGAGTTGCTCAACCTCATGTTGTCCCTGCTCTTGTTGTCGCTGATCTGTGAGAGACAGTGAGCAAGATGCAAGTGAAAGAAGCATGCTCTACCTGCGAGTGCTGCAGCCGTACTTTCTCCGCCCCCTCCTTCCCAGCAAAGGGAGTCAGCTTTCCCGTTCGAATCATCCTATCTCTTTCGGTCTCTGCATTTTCGATAGCCTTGACAAACATTGTTTTTGCTTTGTCTTGCTTCTTCTCTCTTTCATCTTGTTCGCCCTGTTTGGCTGCAAGGGTCTGTTTTCTCAGCTTTTCTCGAACTTCGTCCAGCTGCTCCTTCAGCACAGATTGCTGGAATTCTGAGGAATACGCTGGGTTTGCCAGTTTTTCTTCAAGTCTTTTGATGTTGCCTTGTAGCATCTCTATGACTTGAGTTTGCATCTCAACTTGCTTCTGATTTTCCGCTGCTTCCTTTTGTTTGACGACATCCTCCAGCTTCTTTATGACCTTTTTCTCCAGCTCATCGTGGCTTTTTGCAAGAATTCCCAGCTCTTCCAGCACTTCGTCTTCTGCCGGCGCATGCTCATCGTCCATCTCAAATGCAGAATTCTGCTGGCTCCCTGCTCCTCCATCCGGAGCGCTAGCTGCATGAGGAGCGTCATGGTCTGCGTTGGAGGTCTCGGACGATCTCTCTAGGTCAGGAGATGCCTGCTGGCTCTCATTCTCTCTCGGAGCCTCCGGTCGAGCATCCGTGGCAGCCCCTGGCGCCTCGTCTTCATCGGGTATTGACCAGCACTTCTCACCCGTGACCTCGTTTACGTAAAATGGTCTGTTCTTCCTCTTGCTCCAGAACTCTGTCCAGACGCCCTGCTTGCCCATGCTTGCCATGGCGACCCTTCAAGTTATGCGAGTAAGACGGAAGAAGTGGTGAGTACTTGTGATGTTGGAAATCAAGCAAGTGCTGTGAACATCGCTACGCGTTTCCAAACGCTGAAATCTTCTCTCCTCTCCTCCCCTCCCCTCCCCTCCCCTCCCCTCCCCTCTCCTCTCCTCTCCTCTCCTCTTGGCCTAACTTCACCAGTCCCTCTCGTCTCAGACCTCTCACTCTCCCCGTTTGCCACCTTCTCGGCCTCTACTGCTTCATTTCCTTCCCGCTTCCTGGTCCCGGCATGCTGCAAAGTTTGCAGGAACCTGGTTCCCACATCCCCCCTCAGCCCACTCAAGCAGGAACTCCATTGGGGCCTCATCCCCTCATAGCCCTTGCAAAGTTTCGAATGGCGGGCGGGCAGATGCTGCATGGCGGAGCGTAAAAAGTGAGGGAGAGATAGGAGAGGAGAGGGAGAGAGAAGTGGTAGGGGGGGGACAACAGTGTGTTAGTGAGAACTAGTTAAGACAGGAGGAGGGAAGACAAGAGTAAGACCTGTGAGACGAGGGATACAAAACGTCGACCATGCTGGTGAACAAGGGCACAGCAGTGATGGTTTAGTGGGCTTGCACGGAGGCAAGGATGTGGTATCAGTCTGTTTTCAGAGTGAAGAACTTCCATGTTGGTCTCTTGTTTGTTGTGCTCTCAGGCGGCAACACCCTTTCGAGTACCTCTTGCCCCGAGCAACAAGTTGTTTCGCAAAGGCAACAGAGAATTGACTTGCGGCATACACGATTCGAGCTCAATTGTATTTCAGGTTTCAGTGGTAAGTTTGTGTGCTGACATGTTGGATTTGTGTCTTCTTTCTTCTCCATTACCTGAAGCCTTGAATCCAGATGGATTGATGTCGAACGATTGCAGCGGCGACGAGGAGCTCGCGCGAAGGCTTCAGATGGAGGAGAATTATCGGGGGCTTCTCCTGAGGAACAGCATGTCTAGAAACAGAGTGTACACTCGTGCTCCATCGAAACTGAAACCCAACACGCTGGCTGATGACCCTGCCTCTCGAAGTACGCCAGACGCCGCCCTGGGGCATGTCAGAAGGGCCATAAGGGATGGGGCCGAGTGGATGTTAGGCTTGCCCTCGATGATTCTCCGCAATCTCCGCATGTATCCGCTGGACGACTTCAACGAGTTTGATGGTGAAGGTCTACATGCCAATCTCACCCGCTCGCGTGCGAGAACTCCAGACGAAGCTCTGGCTCACAGCTTGCAGGAGCAAGAGTTGGCGTTCCTGCAGCAGAGGGACAGGTGCTCGCGGCGGGCGGCGATATCACCTGATGGGGACACACCCGTGTACATCTCGAGGGCCTCTGCGCGTGAAAGGCTTGCGGAAGCATCTCGTGTCAGCCATCCTGGTCGTGCGCGAACTGAAGCAGCTCCGGAATCTCAGGCGCCTTTGCTGGACCGATCGATCCTTCATCGCCTAGTCAACGACGAGATGACGTACGAGGACATGCTCGCCCTCCAAGAAGCTCTCGGGTCGGTCTCTCGTGGAGCCTCGGAAGGTCAGATATCCAGGTTGCCGTTCGAGAGGTTCGAGCCGGCTACAGGAAAGGGCTCAGGGGAAGAAGCAACGGAGGTGATCGGTTTGTTAGTTGTTGTGGCACTGCCTGAACATTTTTGTGAAGTGCTGTATTTGTCTTTGTGAATACGACGTCGGAGAAAAGCTCCGGAAGCTGCCTTGCCTCCACAGGTTGATTTTGGACTGCTTGTCTCAACCTAATATGAAATTTTCTGTGCAGGTTTCACAGTGTGTGCGTTGACCGGTGGTTGCTCTCGAACAAAATGTGCCCGATCTGTAAAGAAAGCATCTGCTAGTTGAGGCGACAGTATATACGCAAATAAAGTTCTGATGTATCGCAGTACAAAAACTGTAGATCTCTTATTCAAATATGCAACATTGACAAGACAAACCCCATCAGTCCGAAGACGATCGCCACTGTACAAGACAGGATGTACATCAGATGAGAATATGCCTCTAGATCCGTGCGCTGACGAGGCCTCTTGATCTCCGACTTGTGTGCAAGGAGAAACGTGGAGGAATTGCCGACCTCTCTCGAGAACTGATTGAAATCCTCCGGCTCAACGTCTGTATCCTCCGCTAGGGACAAGAGCCTGTATCCCTTGGCGTGAAGAAACTCTAGCAGCTCCTCAGGGTCGTGCTGCCTCTGCAGAAGCTTGGTTGGGTCGAACTCGAAGAGGATGTATGGGATGCGATGCGGCTGAATCTGCAGCGCAGCTGATCGCAAGAGGCCAACCTCCAAACCTCGGTAGGAGAGCTGCAGGAGCTGGAGCCCCCCGTGCTCATGGAACCAAGACAGCAGCGGCCTCATCCCGACTAGCTTCGCCTGCTCCTGACTGTGACGATGCTGAAAATAAGGAAAACATGGTCAGGGATGTGGAGAAGGAGGAGGGAGGGGTTCAAAGAAGCTGACTAATCGCACCTCATCGGAATGCTCCTCGAACAGACTAGCAACGTCCATGTTTCCCGTCTCTTCTCGTCCTCCTCCTGCGTCACCAAAGACAGCCATCTCTGCATGCACAACGTGCACGAGAGAAGTGATGTTGTTGAGCGCGACTGACTTCTTCATCAAGTGATACTCCTGCACGTCAGGCTTCACAGCCAAGATCCGATGGCCTGCAAGCCCTGAAAGAAGAGAGCATCCTCCAAGACCGTACCCGATCTCAAGCACCTGCCCTCTTCCTCGACGCACCTCAGCCGTGACTTGTTCTACGTCGTAACATGCAGTCATGCAATCTCTGTTTCGGGCATCCTCGCTCGACTTGTCTTTTCCTCGGGGAACGCAGATGCTCAGCTCTGCAGAGGAGCTGCAGGTAGCGAGCTCACCATCGGGCCCGCAAGCATCCTTCACTGCAGCCTTGCCTCCTGAACTGTGTCCTCGAGCAGCAGAGCCAGAGAAAGAGACTGTCTGAGAGCTTCGAGCGAAGAAGATGACTTGATAAACAAAAGCAACAACTGACAACAAGTAGAAAAGTCGAACATCCACCCTCTTCATCAGAGTCAATCCTCTCCTCATCCTTCACTGTTGCAAGTTGCTACCTCCCTAACACATTCTTGACCCTCTGCTCAGCCTCCATGCTCATATTTCAGTAAAATCAACGAAGTCCCTAGCTAAACTAATAAATGCATTTGGGTTCATACCGTTGAAATCATCGAAACTTGCAGGAGGATAGCGCTGTCTCTCGTCTTGACCAAATAATACTCTGGGGCGAGTTTGTTTGGTCTATCACTCTCCTACTGGTCTTTGCTCCCACTTGAGTAAATCTGTTCACCCTTGGCAGCTGGCAATGGCGGCCAGGATACTGGCGGCACTGGTGCTGGTGGCATGCGCGCGCATGTCAGGAGCAGACAGTGAGGGCTCCTCGTGCCCTCCTGGGAGATTCCTGGACAACAAGACCGACGGCTGCAGCAGCTGCTGCCCGACCAACTTCGTCTCTCATGCGCCGTGTGGCCAGCTCGCAGCATGGCTCGCTGACGCGTCCTCGAGGGTACAGCTGGACCCGAAAGTGGGATCGGAGGTGTGGAGAAATACGACGGGAGGGAACATAGAGCATGCCCCGGCTGTGAGTGCCGACGGGACGAGGGTCTACGTAGTGTCCGATGACCGACAGGTGTACTCTCTCGATGCAGCGACGGGGATTAAGGGCTGGTCCTACCAATCCCAACAGCAGTTTTCCACCTCTCCAGCTACAAGTCGAGCAGACAACAAAGTTTATGTCGCATCTGGTCAAAGTCTTCACGCTCTCGATGCCATCACAGGGGCTCAGGTTTGGGTTCGCTCCTTGCAGACGCCAGTCTCATCGAGAGTCGTCGTGAGCACCAGCGGTCGAAGTGTTTTCGTGGGCACGTCAGACGGTGTCGTCCTCGCTCTCAACCCCTCGAATGGTGTGACGCTATGGTCAGCAGCAGCTGCACGTGAAGATCCAGTACCGTTCTTGCTTGCATTAAGTACAGATGGCAGCAGACTGTTTGTGGGCTACAGCGACTCGACTTTGAGAGCTTTGAACGCGAGCACAGGCTCCGTCTTGTGGCGCTTTAAGATGCAAGGAACATTCGCTTCCTGGCCTGCTGTGAGTGCAGATGGCAGTCGAGTTTTCATGTGCTCTCAGAGTGAGGGGGTCATGGCGATCAACACACTTACGGGATATCTGCTATGGCAATGGAAGCACGCAGCAACCTCCTTCTTGTTGGCTGACGATCCTGGAGCAGGGCGGCTGTACGTGGGGATCGAGAGCGGCATGTTGTTGGCACTGGACTCCTCTGACGGATCGGAAGCATGGGGCTCAAGGCAGTTGCTCTCTGCGATGTCAAGCCTGGCTGTGAGTGCTGATGCTTCGCTTGTGTTTGTGGGCACTGCAAGCAACGAAATCCACTCCTTCTCAGCTCTCAACGGAGCATCGGTATGGAAGTATACCACAGCTGAGAAAGCTCTCGGTCCCATCAGCCTCGCTCTCGACCCCAGCAGCTCCTACCTGTTCGTGGCGCAAGGCTCTTCTGTCTTGGCTCTCGAGACTCGATTCCGCCTGGTTGACTGGTACCTCAACGCGTTTTCACAGCCCTCCTGTTCTTCTCTCCACATGATGCAGCTGTGGTCATTCCAGTCGGCGTCAGTCTTCCCTGTCGTGATCAGCAATGACGGCAACTTAGGCTACTCGTCGTCGGGGTCGGAGGTGAAGGTGTTCAGCACTCAGACGGGGAGCTTGCTTCGAACTTTCGATTTTGACAGCGAGACTCTGACGGCTCCTGCTCTCACTCCAGACGGACGAGTCATGGTCGTGGGCCTTGGGACCCCCTCCTCCTCGTCGGAACAACAGGATGAAACGAGCATTCGTGCGAGAGACAGCGTGACCGGACAAGAGCTGTGGTCTTACTCTCCTGGGACCTCCTGGTCCTCAGCCCCATACGTGAGTTACGATGGCAGCAGCGTTTACGTGCTGACAGATGGCTCTCCGAGCCTGCTGGCGCTGGACGCAAACAGTGGCAGGTTGAAGTGGAGTGTTCATTTTGATGTCACTTCCTCCGCAAGCTTTTTAGAATCTGGCGACAAGCTCTACATCACGAGCGCATCGAGGTTGCTCGTCTACAACTACAATGCTTCTTCAGCCTCTCTGTCATGGTCGGTCCAGAGAGGCCAGCAAGCTCTCTCTCCTCCCTGTGTGAGCTCCAACGCTCAGCTCGTCTTCTTTGCAACGGACAAGAGCCTCCACGCCCAGCAGACGTCTGGAGGGGCACAAGTCTGGACGGTCTCTACGGGAACAAGCTTCTGTTCTGCACTTACGGCGAACCCTCAGCAAGACTTGCTGCATGCAGCATGCAGTGACAAGCGTATCCTGACCCTCAACGCCTCCTCTGGCGCAACCATCTGGTCGCAGGACTTTGGCGCTTTTCTTCTCACCCGGCCGGTTGTGGGTCCTCGCGGGCAATTTCTCTTCGTCTGGTCCTCTGACGGCTCTGTTTCTGCTCTTCTCGCGTCCTCTGGTGAGGGCGTGTGGCATTGGAGCAGCGGCAAGACATCCGCGCACATGCTCCCCGTGCTGAGTCCAGACGGTTGGACCGTGTACGTGACGTCAGCATCGGACGAGGTCCTAGCGTTGGAGATAGAGCCTTGTATCTCCGTGCTCGCTTCCCCTGGCACCCTGCGGTATCAGAGCAAACCGCTCGGACTGAACTTTGAGTGCAACATCATTGACGAGTCAAATCAGTTTACTCTTCAGGCTCCTCCAACCTCCGGCCTTGTTACCTCCACTGTCGCCTCCTCGCCTCCGCCTCCCACGACTTGGGCCCCTCTAACCACGCCGCTCCCCGTCCTGTTCAGCGGCGAGCGCTTGAAGGTGTGGTTTCACTGCAAGGTATCCGGACTGGCAGTGTCGGAGTACCAGGGGCCGGTGAAAGAAGCGTTCCAAGAAGCCGTGCTGACGTCCATGGGCCTGCAACAAGACTCCTCCACCTCCATCACAAGCACTGCAAGCAGCTCTCAGTCAAGACGTGCAGCCGCTCAAGTCGACATCCTCTCGACAGTCGTGACGTCAGTGTCAAACAAGGAGAAAGCGATGGCGACGACAAGCGCGTCACTGGCGGACAAGATCGCTCACAACCCGACGCTTCATTCCATGGGAGTATCTCTGATCTCCATGGGCACTTTGTCCTTTCAACTCATAAAGACGTTCGCGGCTCCGCAGGCCCTCGAACCGTCCGGCCCCTCCAACTTCCTCGTCGTCGTACTGGTGCCTACGCTGGCAGGATCGAGCTTGCTGTTCTGCTGCTTCGTCGCAGCTCGCAAGAGATGCTGGCATCGATCGGACACTCCTTCCTCACGGCGGGGGGCAACGTCAGCTCTGCCGCCGGCTGACTGTGTGCCGTCAGCTCCTAGCTACGAGTCTGTCTTCGGCCATCCTGCCAGTGAATCGCACGAGGACCTCGCCAACGCGTGACGTGCACAACGACTTGAAGTCCTGACGTCCTCCCTGTACAGCTCTTGTGTAATATAGCCTTGATCCCCTCGACCGAATCTCCTCCTCTCAAACTCTTGTGCCAGCTAGGGCTGGACGCCATCGAGACCCCTCACTCTTGAACCTCCAACAGTCGCCCCATCCACTGCATATCACAAGTCGCTAGTCGCCCCATCCCAACAGCCATCCCTGTCAGCCGTTGCCCGCGGTTCAGGATCAGCCTGAGCTCGCACACGTGCCCCTCTACCCCCCTCCTCCTCGTCTCCTCGTTCACCACCCGCACGTTGATCGCCACGTCCCGACTCCGTCAGCTCCTCTACCCCCGTGAACACAAGGCTCTGCCGCACCACGTCCGTGAGGTCTGAGAGTCTGCCGTGGCATAGCAGCTGGACCTTCTCGATGGCCCTCGACGCGCTCTTGATGCTCGCCCACCTCACCCGCCTCTCCATCGATCTATCCGCTACCGCCTCCCGCCAGCGCACGTACGAGGGCCCCTCTCTACCCTCCCATGCTGGCAAGTAGCCGTCGACGGTCTCGGCGAGCGACTGGACCTTGAGGAGGAAGATGGGGTCGAGGAGGACCGCCTGCGCGTAGAGCTGGTCCAGGGACGCCGCACATGCCTGGTGTGTCTGCCGCCCTGTAGCAGAGCGCGGCTCCTCCGGCTCTATCTCCTCTGGGCTCTGGCTTGAGTCCTCGGTGCTTACGACCACTATCGGCCCCCGGCACCTGCCATCCAGCTCTGCGTACGCCGTAGCTCGCTTCACCACGCGGCTCAAGGTTTCTATCGCCGAGCTTGTCCGCATCTCCTCCCATCGCTCCTCCAACCCGCAAGCAGCCTCCTTCCGGGCCTCCTGCAGTGCCTGCAGCCGCAGCCGCTCTCGCATCAAGAGGAAAGCCGCCCCGGCCCCAAACATCCCAACACTCGGGTTTCTGATGGCGCCTGAGCTCGACGTCGTAAGGCTCGTCCTGCAAGCTTTCAGTCCGCCCTCCCTCCCATTCGAGGAGCCTCCGATTTTCGGGTTATTCCTCTGACATCAGCCGCTCATCGCCGTCTCAAGCTTCTCTGTGTCATTTCGCAGGTTCATAGTAACCGGCGGGGACCAGTGACGTGACCGTTCAAGTTAGGTCCCTGTAGCCTGAGGCCTCAGAGATTCGGCATGATCGCCGGGCCCCGGCTCCGGGCCGCCGGGTCGCCGATGCCAGTAGCCTGAAAGCATTCGAAGTTGACAACAGCCTGTGGCCCTTTTAGGTTCCGAAAATCGCCGAGTTCCGAAGCCTGCAAATTTCAAATTCAACAAAATCCAATACAACTTGCAAATGGTGAATGAAAGTGACCAAATTTACCGGAAGATTTTCATCGTGAACCCCAAACAAAAGGATCTCCGAGGTGTACAAAAAATCCATTGGATCTATGGGGAAAGAAAATGCAGCGACTCGGACCCACCGGCTTCAAGACGGCGATGAGCAGCTGCTGCCACGTAGCGACAAGGGAGGGAAATGAACGAAAATGAGCCGTGTCTCTCTCCCTCCACCTTCAGGCTGCTTGCTCGTGACATGCATGACTCCTCCTTAGAGTTCGCTCGCTTCTGCAGTGCCTGCAGCCGCAGCCGCTCTCGCATCAAGAGGAAAGCCGCCCCGGCCCCAAGCATCCCAACACTCGGGTTTCTGATGGCGCCTGAGCTCGACGTCGTAAGGCTCGTCCTGCAAGCTCTCAGTCCGCCCTCCCTCCCACTGTTCGAGGAGCCGCTCCGATTTTCGGGTTATTCCTCTGACATCAGCCGCTCATCGCCGTCTCAAGCTTCTTTGTGTCATTTCGCAGGTTCATAGTAACCGGCGGGGACCAGTGACGTGACCGTTTAGGTCCCTGTAGCCTGAGGCCTCAGAGATTCGGCATGATCGCCGGGCCCCGGCTCCGGGCCGCCGGGTCGCCGATGCCAGTAGCTGAAAGCATTCGCAGCCTGTGGCCCTTTTAGGAGTCCGAAAATCGCCGAGTTCCGAAGCCTGCAAATTTCAAATTCAACAAAATCCAATACAACTTGCAAATGGTGAATGAAAGTAACCAAATTTACCGGAAGATTTTCATCGTGAACCCCAAACAAAAGGATCTCCGAGGTGTACAAAAAATCCATTGGATCTATGGGGAAAGAAAATGCAGCGGCTTCAAGACGGCGATGAGCAGCTGCTGCCACGTAGCGACAAGGGAGGGAAATGAACGAAAATGAGCCATGTCTCTCTCCCTCCACCTTCAGGCCGCTTGCTCGTGACATGCATGACTCCTCCTTAGAGTTCGCTCGCTTCTACTCCCACTCCCAGGGAGACCGTCTTCAACGTTGTGTGGAGCAACGAGTCATCTACAGGTCAAAGCCCAGCGTCATCTTCTTCTCCTACGAGCCTCTGTCTGCTCTTCTTGCCTGGCCTCCAGCGCAGGTGGCACTCGCACTCTTGAGCGGAGCATGGATAGCGCTTTGCGCGGTCAAGATGCGCTGGGTGCAGGAGGCAGGCTACTTCTCGCTTGTGATAGGAGGGAAGCGGGTGCGGGAGTACTCCACCGAGGCGTATGCCAGGAGCCAGTTTCTTGCTTGCTCATGGGAGATGCCTCTCGAGATCGCCACCAACTTCATATCCGGGGTGATCTGTGTAGTCGTGGTTTTGCTTGCGTCGAGGCGTCAGATTGAAGTTGCCAAGCTGGTATGATGATGCTCATGTTGCATGAGTGAGAGACGTGAAAGATGCAAGCAGGTGGTCATAGCCTACGGTGTACTCGACGCGATCCTCAACCTCCTCATCTTCGTGAGGATGATGAGTCAAGGCGCCGGCCGGACCGGGCTCAACACCCCGAGCTACAGCTTCATCGTCTTCGTCCTGACGGTCAGTGGGCGGGGGGACGCATGGGAGGGCGGGCGGGCTGAGAGCTCAGTGCAGGACCTCCTTGTCTTCCCTGTGCCGGTAGCCTACATCGAGCCTTACGCCGTCGAGCTCGTCGCGCTGTCGGGCGCCATCAGAACTGGGACGGGGCTCGCCGCGGGAGGGTGGCGGTACCCGAGTGTTGGGATGCTTGGGGCCGGGGCGGCTTTCCTCTTGATGCGAGAGCGGCTGCGGCTGCAGGCACTGCAGGAGGCCCGGAAGGAGGCTGCTTGCGGGTTGGAGGAGCGATGGGAGGAGATGCGGACAAGCTCGGCGATAGAAACCTTGAGCCGCGTGGTGAAGCGAGCTACGGCGTATGCAGAGCTGGATGGCAGGTGCCGGGAGCCGATAGTGGTCGTAAGCACCGAGGACTCAAGCCAGAGCCCAGAGGAGATAGAGGCGGAGGAGCCGCGCTCTGCTACAGGGCGGCAGACACACCAGGCATGTGCGGCGTCCCTGGACCAGCTCTACGCGCAGGCGGTCCTCCTCGACCCCATCTTCCTCCTCAAGGTCCAGTCGCTCGCCGAGACCGTCGACGGCTACTTGCCAGCATGGGAGGGTAGAGAGGGGCCCTCGTACGTGCGCTGGCGGGAGGCGGTAGCAGATAGATCGATGGAGAGGCGGGTGAGGTGGGCGAGCATCAAGAGCGCGTCGAGGGCCATCGAGAAGGTCCAGCTGCTATGCCACGGCAGACTCTCAGACCTCACGGACGTGGTGCGGCAGAGCCTTGTGTTCACGGGGGTAGAGGAGCTGACGGAGGGCGTGAGGGCAGTGCTGGAGGACCCGGAGCTGGAGGTGGTGAGGATCAAGAACAGGCTGGACGAGGCGTACGACTCGAGGCTGTCGGGGGGGTATCGGGACGTGGCGATCAACGTGCGGGTGGTGAACGAGGAGACGAGGAGGAAGGGGGTAGAGGGGCACGTGTGCGAGCTCAGGCTTGCAGTCATGCCCATGCACCAGCTGGTGTATTCGACCTCATCATTGAGGTACCAGAGCTATAAGCAGATTCTTTCATTCCGCAGGGACTGCTTCAAGCCTTGGCAAGTGCTGGGGATGCTTGCAAGACAGCTGAGCCTGGGCTTGCTTGTTCCTGCTAGCCTGCGCAGCGGCGGAGCTTCGATGTCGCCGAGCGACTTTACCTCCTCCCTATCCTCGTGCAAGGACGAGGAGGGAGACAGGTCTGAAGTCACGCTCGCGAGAGTCAGAAGCCATCATCGAGGAAACGTGCTTGACGAGCACCTTGAGAGAGCAGCGCACGGCCTTGACGAAGTAGCGACTTCCACCATCATGTTCTCGTCCACCCCTCTCACCAACGCTGTGAACAAGCATTTCTTCCAGGCCATTCTCTTCATGGTAGGTGTCGCCTACGGCTACTTCGTGTTTGCTGGGGCGAAAGCGCACGCCACCTTCACAAACGGCGCCATGAGCTCGACCCTGTATCGCCTGGAGCTGAGGCGGGTTCGAGACCGATCAGTGGGTGCGCGAGCAGAGCTGTACAAGAGCTCTTTCGCGCTGGTCAGAGACGCCTGCTCGCGCTTCCATCCCTCATCAGTGTCCGTGGACAATGCTTCCCTCTACTTCACCTTCAATGAGTCCGTCGTGGTCAACGGCTGGCAGCTAGAGATCGCTGCAGATCCGGAGCAGGCGCAGTACGACCCTCAGGAGCTCGTGCTGGAGCGATGGGAGCAAGCGACCAAGGCAGGGAACGCGTCATGGGTGGAAGTCTCCTCCTTCTCATGCAGCGACTGGCCGGGGCTGCAGCTTTGCGACGCCTCTCCAGAGCTGGCCAGGGGCACGAGCATCCGTTTCGAGCTGAGGCAGACATGGCGGAGTACCTTGCGATACGTAAACTACGTCTTGCCAAGTTCTTTCTGCTTCCTGGCGGTATTTTTTGCTCTTATGCGCAACTCATTCGTCGCAAAGACTTTCGCTGCTTCCTGCTTTCATGTTGTCGGCTTGATGGAGCTGGCCACGTCGATGCCTCTGAGCTTGCGAGACCCCTTGAGCGCCCATGACTTCTTGTTTGGCATCGCAGACCTCAGTTACGGCCTCATCCTGCAGTTCCGGGAGAAGTACACACTGCACGTGCTGCCCGTTTACATTATTTTCATAAGCATTGGAGCAACAGCCGTTGACATGGACTGGTTCCGCAGCTCCAAGTCCTTCAGCATGGACTACATTCCCTTTACAGCATATGTGCTGCTCTCCGTGTGGCTCTACTTCCAGGTATCACGGAAGCTTCAGTTTCGCAGGGCCATGAGCTACGTCAAGGAGGAGCAGGTCAAGTACGACCAGTGCTGGGCCCTGCTGCTCGAGCAGGATGACAGTAAGCCGCAGCTGACCAGGCTCGCCGACATCTGCAGCCTCCATCCTGCTGGAAGAGCCGAGCAGTGGAGCTCTCGAGACGTCGACTGCGAGAACAGCAAGCCCAGCATCTTCGACCTTTCCCTCCTGTGCGTGCCCTCATGGACTGGACCGGGCAAGGCCAACCCTGTCATGAGGGTCGAGTCCCTGGACCAGCTCTACGCGCAGGCGGTCCTCCTCGACCCCACCTTCCTCCTCAAGGTCCAGTCGCTCGCCGAGACCGTCGACGGCTACTTGCCAGCATGGGAGGGTAGAGAGGGGCCCTCGTACGTGCGCTGGCGGGAGGCGGTAGCGGATAGATCGATGGAGAGGCGGGTGAGGTGGGCGAGCATCAAGAGCGCGTCGAGGGCCATCGAGAAGGTCGTGCGGTCGTACAGCTACCAGGTCTACTGCCTCACGGACGTGGTGCGGCAGAGCCTTGTGTTCACGGGGGTAGAGGAGCTGACGGAGGGCGTGAGGGCAGTGCTGGAGGATCCGGAGCTGGAGGTGGTGAGGATCAAGAACAGGCTGGACGAGGCGTACGACTCGAGGCTGTCGGGGGGGTATCGGGACGTGGCGATCAACGTGCGGGTGGTGAACGAGGAGACGAGGAGGAAGGGGGTAGAGGGGCACGTGTGCGAGCTCAGGCTGATCCTGAAGGAGTTTCATGCGCTCAAGTCGATGGATGGGCACAAGAGGTACGTGAGATTTCGAAACAGTATCGGGGAGTAGGCAAGGAGGTGGTCAGACATGTTGATGTTCATTGTATATAGAGTGATTGAAGATGTCAGTTCAATAAAGTCGATTGATGTTTACAGATGATCTCCTGCCATCCTGGAAACGCCCTTGGGCTTATCTCAAAGTTAAAGGCAGAAACATGGCTCGAAATTACAGCCAATGCCCTTCACGGTGATCTTGAGCTGAGACAAATTGATCGCCACGTCGCCATGCCCCCCCTCCTCCTCGTCTCCTCGTTCAAGCACGGTTGGGAGGGAGGGAGAGATGGAGGGGCGGGGAGGAAGAGGGAGGAAGCGAGGGAGTGTGGGAGGGATTACATA